TTGATATAGATTGAGTGGTGCACTGCTTCTATTACTAACGGTAATAATAATGCATTGACTAGCCTAACATCGCCCTGAATTGCTTTGCAATTAATCTCTAGGGCTTCTCGCTGACCAGTGCCCCGTCCACACACGCAGCGTGGTGTTTCTCTGTCCACTGCTCAACCGCATTGTCGGCTTGACTGTATATTTTTGGACAGAGACCGGTGCAATTCTGCTTTTTTGAGAATATAACTGAGCCACTAAACTTCCTCTGTCGAATCACATATCCATATGCACGCTCGAGCAAATTTCTTGGTATTCGGTTGGCAAACGCCGCCCGCGACCGGTCTATCAAAAATACTAAATTCCTGTCCACCCGACCTCCGAACAGCAGAACATTTGGCGTGCCACACCTTAACCCTCCGTGTCTTGGTAGCACTATCGTTGCTGTTCTGCTAGTGCTCATTCGTTAGACCTGGGAACCTGCTTATTTCGCATCTAACCTTTGCTGATGGTCATTCTACTATTCGCCACCTTTGGACGTGCATGCTAGCCAGGATGTGGGCTGATGTCAAGCCTTCGTTTGTCTTGAGAAGAGTGAAAGCCAAACAACCGGCTTTTGCTTTTGGTCAGAAATACATCCATCGCCGCTGGCTATCGATTCACAGACTTGAGATTGTACTTAATTGTAATAAGTAGCACTTATTTTGTGATGTTAACGGGGACGTACACGACCCAGTAGCAGTCAACTTTTATAGTCTCTGTTCGTAACTGAATCCAAACGCTCAAGAAAACACTTTATTTTGGCCCTAGGTTACTTTAGCTCAGTTTTATTGTATTCTCTATATTCTTTTGAGTAGTGTCCGCTTTATGCATGTATATTTACCTCGACCGTCTTTTCAGCAAAGTTTGTAATTTTTACCTCATTCCTTAAGGTGCGCCTTCCGATGCCCAACAAACAGGCCAAAGTCGACGAGGGTGCTGAGCCGGAAACTGTTCAACTTGAGTTGGAGGGATTTACTCCACTACCCGAGGACCGAGATGGCATTGTCCAGCTGCTTAACCAACTATTTCCGAAGAATTCAGGACTGCATTTGGGCGGTATTGCCGACTACATTATTTCACTGGAGAATGTGGGAACTATCGTCAAGAACTGTTCTGAAGTCACGGAGGCTGCCGCCACCGATGCTGATGACCAGGAGGACGATGACATAGTTTTTTCGATTACTACTGTCGTGAGCCTGACAAAGCCGTCAATTGCCAAGTGCTCCGTCCTAGCTGACCTGAAAAAATTTCTGCTGGATTTGGCCAGCAAGTCGGAAAGTGCCGCCTCTGAGGTGAATGCCATCAAGGCCCTGTTAAATGGCGAAGCCTCAAAAAAGTGTGCACTGCTCTTGAACGAGAGGTTTGTCAACTTGCCGCCCTCCATTTCGGCGAAGGCCGTGGATGCCCTTCCCGCGGAGATCCAAAATCTAAAGGAGGAGGAGAGACCGACAGACCTGCTGATTTTGACTCGTGGCCTGAAGCCCGAAAACGCAGGTACACTGGTCTACATTCAACCAGAGATGGAGATCGTCCGTCAGGCTGCAGACGCTTGTCTGGAAACCAAAATTACTAATGCGTCGGACGGAGACGATCCTGAGACTGTAATTTACATCCTCATGGCAGTTAAAATGTCATCACTGCCCGGAATTATTGAGTCCCTAGCTGATATGCCATAGCTCTGTGCCCTAATCTGTTGTAAATCCATGTACAGCGCTTTTCATACTACTTATGTCTTTTGTCATCCGACGAGGGGTAGCAGGTACTTGATGATACTTACTTCCAGTTGTAATATTTTAAAGCGGTCCATACGTAGCAGTTTATACCTTTAGCCTCTTTACGTTCCAGGCTCATGTTTGTTAAAATATATACCGAAGGGCAATAAATAGTTATAATTTTTGTCATGCTAGGAAGTTTTCGTAGGACTTGGTAGGCGGGATGTGGGTCTATGGCTCTGCTAAGCGTGCCAATAGAAGACCAACTTTCGAGCAGCGGTGGGCCCATTTGGTCATTGGCTCGGTCTATTAACCTCACTTTATCACAGGCGAAACTGTGGTTCTCCTGTTGTACGTGGCCGTAGACCATAGGCAGGTTATCCTTGCGGCTGATTACGAGCGGGTCTTGTGCCAAGGCGTTCGTCCGTTTCGGCAACGTACGTCGCATCACAGTTTTGGCATAGTACGCTGTAGACGACTGCTGATTGTTCCGTCGATGCTAGCGGGTCTTTGGGTCTCATGCTTTGCTGTCTGATTGTTGACTTTGGCATATGGGCCACACCGCTCCGTAGCGGTTTCGGAATTCTCGCCGTCGCCTCTAATACGTTCTTTACATAAGGCATTACGGACTTCTTAAGACGCAACAATTCGGCAGAATGCGCGTTCCCGGGCACAATGGAGGTAAGACGATCATAGGAACCATGTCCTAATGTTTCGAGCTCAAACAAGCTTCCGTCGTTGGAGATGGTATACGCACTGAGGTTCATAGTATTTATAGCTTCTGATAGTTAAGCTCGACGATGACCTCAAGATCGGCTGTCCGCGCTGCGCCGCGGATTCGGCGACTTGTCATGAGAGGCGGAGGCTCTCATCGTCAGGGAGGCGGGAGCGTTGGGATGACAGCGACCATTGATCAAATCGTCCGTTGTTTGTGTTTGCTTTCGGCGTATTTCGCTGTCATGCCGCGTT